AAAAGAGATGGCCAATCTTGACCTCACTCGAGCTTGCCTCGGCTCCGGTCATCCAGCAAGATTGAAGAGAGTACGCTTGTCGTCCCTCGGAAGGAACGCCAGCCAAGATAAATCTTCTGTTTCCCCCTACTCCTCTGTTTTAACATCCATGTCGAGATAGCTCTTACCCCGCTCTGGTCATGGCCCACCTTTCACACTTCCATCCTTACCAAATATCAGACATGTATCACGATCCCCGAACAGGTTATCCAAACCGTAAACATCATCACAAATCTATCTTTCCGAGTACATGTTCCTACAATAGGACGTAATTTAACTTGAGCGTCAGAGAACCTACGGGAAGAAAACCTCTTTTCGGTCTTCCTGGAGGCCCGACTTACTCATTTGCCAGTATATGCAGAAATTCATCAGACTTTCGCCTCAAAGCCGCATACCGCTCATCTCCAAATGACAAAACTCGGATACACAACTTCTCTATCCGGACGATCACACACTCCTTATAAACATCCTGCAAAATGTTTCAGAACAATTATAAATTAAATTTATAAACAAATTTAATATTTTTTAATTATTGTCCATTAACAATTTTTTATAATTTTTATGTGTAAGATCTATAAACTCAAATTTTTTTGATAAATTTTTCTCTATCACTAATATATATATGTATATATATATAATTGTAATTTTTTCTAATATTTTCCAAAAAACAGAAATTTCTCTATTAAAATTATAATTTATATTAAAATTAAAAAAAAAAGTTAAAAAGAAACATAAGTATTATACACATATTATTTAATAGTTAATTTTATGTTAGATTAATAATTTTCTATTTTTTTAAATAAGAAATTTTTTAATAATTTTAATAATTATAATATATTTATATTATTATTTTATTTTTAACCATTAGGTTTAATAACACAATTAATCACAGCTACTCAATTCCACAAACTTTTGCACCCCAACCTCAATCACTACATTTAAATTCGTCAGATTCTAAAATATGGTTACCAATGCATATAGATATAAAAGATTGTATAGAAAATGATGTTATCACTCAAAATTAATGGTTAAAAGAAATTATCACTTAAAATTAATGGTTAAATATATTTATCGTTGATGGCTAATTAGCGATTTCTTATATGTGGCTAATGATCATGATTATTAATTTGGTTAATGTGTTTGTTTAAGAACATTTTTTGGGATGTTTATATGGGATGTGTGAGCATATTAATAGTATGGTTGTTTCCGAATTTTATTATTTTTGGATGATGAGTGATATATAGCTCCAAAGTAAAAGGCTGGTGAGATCCTGTATACACTAGCAAACAAGTCAGTCAAGGTTTTAAGAGGACCGAACATAATTTTTTTTCCCAAAGATTCTTCAACGCTCAAATTAAATCATGCCTTACTAGAAACAGATACTCGGAAGAGTAGATTTGGTGATGGTGGTTAAAGTTTGGATATCTAGTCCAAAAATCACGATATTTGTTTGATGTTTAGTACGGATGGAAAATGGAAGGATAAAAAATGAAAGTAATTAGATAGACAGTCGTAAGAATGTGATTTAAACTCTCTCGACACAAATGTTAAAGCAGGAATAGGGGGAAGTTGAAAGCTTATCCCAGTTCTTTCCAGAAAATGACAAACATACTTCTTTTAGTCTTACTGTGTGACCGAGGCCGGGATGAGCTTGGATGAGGTCAAGATTGCCCATCTCTTCTCTATTTTAACGTATTTTTTCTTTAGAATTGATCTCAGACATTTTCTCTTAGATTGGATTGGATGGAATCTGAACCTTTTTGTTCTTTTGGTCTTGGCCTCCTTTTTATACATTTTGTTTCTGATCTGTTTCATCAATGCAACATATAGCGGAAGCAGATGAGCTGGTTCAACATACTTTTAATTTAAAAAATTTGCCAACTACCTAAAAACAATATACTATATAACTGTTTACAGATAGTCCACTGCTGATATATCAACTCATAATTGGACACGAATCCAATAATATCACAATTTGACAAATAATTTGGCCGATTTGTCTTCGTGACTATATAAGTATATATGGCGAGAAATTATTCGACGTTAGTATCCATCACTTAGTCAACAATAATAAAATAGGTGTCTAAATGAAATTAGCACACTATTATAAAAAAAAAAGTTCCACATTCTTTCTTTTTAATTCTTTTGTTTCATTTTCAATTATCTCGCTAATTCATGCTATCCTAATTACGTGAGATTTGAATCTAAAGAGAAAGCAAATAATGTATATGGATGGGTGTAGTGTCAAACTTGATATGATTACCCCCACGCACCATCTCTAGATAGAATGACACTTGTCCTTTCACTTTTTTCAATTAACATGATTGTCTTTTGTCATTGTACTAGCTTTTAATGAAATTATTTTCCAACAATCAGAATTACCTATCGTACCAACCGTAACGGTTGTGTGTAACAATCCATGTTTTATCCATTTGAATAAGTTTAAATAGATTGATTTGGCTATTTATGTTATTGTGCAGTTATTTTGTTGGTTAGTAAGTCTGAGAAAACTCCAGAATTAAGCAGGCTTGAGCTAGAGTAAGATTAGGATAGGTGATTTTTCGGGAAGTGATTCTCCAAACCGTATGAATAAGGCTAATCTCTAGAAAAAAAATCATATGATGATTGAATGGTTAGTAAATAAGTCGGTTGAGCTCCGAGAAAAATAACGCACCGGCCGTCGAAAAAGCTGACAGATCCGAAAAAGAAAGTGGGTGTGCTCACCAGAGACGGTCAGAGGTGTTACAGTGTGCGTCAAAAAAATAACAAAGATCACGTTAGCAACCTGTTAAAATAGAGAGATTGGAAACACCAAACTTTGCCGCCAATGATACAAAATAGAGCTGCAGTCGTTGAAATTCACGGACGACAATTTAATCAATTTGTATTCTACTAGCGGCAGTCACCGGCGAAACAACAATACGGACATTATATTTCTTTTTGTTGTTTGTTAATTTTTGACGTTCACCCCTGCAGCTGCCTAAGGAAAACGAACAGGACTGTTGTTGAAGATAGGCATTAGCAAAATGACTAGGAAAAATGTTATAAAAGCACTTAAGGATAACGATATTTGGATGATTGAGACGAGGGAAGAAAGCTATTGGATTTAAATGCGATATTATATCGCATTAATTATAAATATAAGATTGATGGCATAATATGAGGTTTGTTCTCTTTGGGAAATCAAACGGAGAAACAACCCATAGTTTTTTTTTTCTTTTGCGACTCGCCTATTTTTTGAAAAATGAAGAAACAACCTATGATGATGTCACGTTCTTAGGCCAAAGTTGTATACCATTTCATGCTGGATACAATTAGTGAGCATCTTTGGCTAAAGAACTTGCTTTTGCCTCTGGTATTGTTTTATCCTAAGACGTACCTCTTCATTGTGATAGGATGTTCGCAATATATCTTAGTGCACGAGCAGATTAAGGTACACTTAGGTCGATATTCATTTCATTTGAAATTAAATTATCTGCGAAATATCTAGCATAAATTCTTATCAAAATGCAATTGAGAAGAAGGAAGTTGATGGTTTTCTTTTCAAAATTGGATATTTGCTGTTCTTTACACTCCAACCTAAGGGAGCAGAGGTATTAAGAATGTGATACTAATTTGGATATGTATGTGATACTGTCTTGGCCCACGTATATTTAACTTATGTCCTAGTCTATTTTAATAATCTCTATTCTATTAGGGCACCGTTTAAGGTTTAAGGGCAAAAAGGAATTTTGTAAGATACGTACTACTCCATTAGTAAAATACCATTGACTTGGGAAATTGAATTCTTCAATTCCCAATGTACAAGAAGAACTACAATACAATACTCTAAGCGAACGTGAATGCGACGCTTCACATTACTAAGCCAAACCATGCTTTCGTATTAATAACAAATAAAAGTAATTCATAGTGTTATATCATCTTATAGCATGACATTAATATTTTTAGCCTTTTCTTTTCAGCATAAAAGTCTGGCCTGGCTCATTATAAACTACCACTAACATAGGCAAAATCCGTATCTTAACAAAAGTAGTGAGAGCAATTTCCAGTATTGGGATTGGAAGACACCTTTTTTCTCTTATTCATTCTTCTTCTTATTCTTCTTTTCTCTAAATAAAGTAGTTGTGACTTGAGAGCCACCGAAAAGCATTCGACATCTTATTATCATTAAAGCTAACTTTTTCTATCTTTTATTTCTACAATAATTTCTTGAAATAAAGAAAAGGTGAGAGAGAAATTATGTCCCTACAGGCTACAGCTTGTAGAATGAAAGATTTTACCAAACGTTGGTTTGAGATTTTTTCTAATCAATCACATGCATTTTTGAAAAATTGATCCAAAAAAATCCAAACCTAAATTCTGTAAAAGCAAACCTATAGGCTCGTGGGTCAATAATGTCAATCTCAATGAATAGAGAAGTCTTTTGGTATCACGACATATTTAGCGCCTCAACATTCCGCCTAAATTATAGGAGCTAAAGACAGACCAACTAGTCAAAATATTTTCTTTTATATGTAAATGTGGTAATTGATTTTAGTTATATTCCTTTTTACCCATTCCCGATTCACACGCATGAGAGTATTCACATGGAATTACTTTAATTTGGTGGGTACAATATAATGCATAGTTCAGAGTAGTGCTCCATGCAGAAATGAACTCATCACACGTACGCATGTCTTACGTGTATTAGACACATGTACGCATGTATTCACACGATGAGATTTCTCTTTCTCAAATAAACCAAAAAAAAGACTATGAAACAAATTCAGAGATTTCACTATCTTAAATTAGTTTGAAATTTGTTCTTCACTATTGCTTTTATTTCCGAATAATTTATATTTACAATAAAGACAAGGAGATTTAAAATGATAAAAAGTCAACCACAACCCATCATTTGGTCTTTGGTTTCCCGACGTCCCACTTTTGTAAAAACAATCATCTGTTCATTTTCCATTCTTTTTCCTACCCAACTGGATATCACCAATTGTCATCATTCATTACACATCAACATTCTACAAATCCATTCTATATATACATAAGCCAAGTCTTGTAACGAGAGCGACACAACATTTGCTAAATTAAATATATAGCAATGAAGGTTCATGGGTTTTCCAATGGCTTTTCTTCGTGGGATCAACATGACTCGTCATCATCCCTTAGCCTAACCTGCAAACGCCTCCGTCCTCTCGCCCCGAAGCTCTCCGGCAGTCCTTCCTCCCCTCCTTCTTCTTCCTCCGTCATCACTTCCGCCACTTTCGACCTCAAGAGCTTCATTAAACCCGATCAAACCGGTCCAAAAAATTTCGAATACCCTCTTGAGCACAGAATTGACCATCCTCAAGTCAGTTCCCTTATCTTACATTCGAAATTTTATTTTGACACTACAAGATTATTGACAAAATATCCAGATACCTACAACATTAACATTTTTAGCAAATAGATATATAGGTTCTTATCTTGTATATTATATTGTGTTTTTTCTTTCAACTAACATTTGACATGCTAGGTGGAGACGCACCCGGGAGGGACAAGGTGGAACCCGACTCAAGAACAAATAGGGATACTTGAGATGTTGTACAAAGGTGGAATGCGTACTCCTAATGCTCAACAGATCGAGCAGATCACATCTCAACTAGGTAAATACGGGAAAATAGAAGGGAAGAATGTGTTCTACTGGTTCCAAAACCACAAAGCCCGCGAGAGACAGAAACAGAAGAGGAACAACCTCATCAGCCTAAGTTGCCAAAGCAGCTACAAAACCACTTGTGTCTCTAACCCAAGTGTAATAATGAAGACAACAACATCATCATCACCAGAGACCAGGGTATGTATTACTTAGGGATGTTGTATATATAGTTTTTATGTGTTTTAAACTATAATTAAGGGTTTTGTTTGATGTTTTGGTAGAGAGAGTCCATGGGGGAGAAGGAGAAGTTGGTGGAAGAAAATGAGTACAAAAGAGCATGTAGGAGCTGGGGATTTGAGAACTTGGAGATAGAGAGCAGAAGAAACATAAATAGTAGTACTAATGCTACAATGACAACTACTTTTAATAAAATCATTGACAATGTAACCCTTGAGCTTTTCCCTTTGCACCCTGGAGGTTGGTGAAGAAGATGAGGCAGAAAATGTGGAATTCTTATGTAGATCTGGTTTAGGCTCAGACGGAGTAGTTGGTATCTAGAAATTCCAAAAAAAAAAAACGACAAAATAATAATAGTAATAAAAAGTTTCTGAATTTACATAATCTACTTAAGAATTCCCTTGTAATCTGCGAGACTGATGTATCATGTGTAGATCTTTGCGATGTATTCTTAACTATGAAACATTAGTTTAATTAATCTATTTAATTTCGTCTTTGTTCTTAACAAACTATAAACTCTACAGCTTTTGTACTGTTATAACGACTCACGAACATATATATCTTAATATTATAGAATATTGAAAACTCTTATAACAGGACTTAATAAAATATATGCTAAATTATACTAATATGAGATTTAGTTTTGATAAATATGTACATTTATCAGATTGTAATAACAGTAGTCTTGTTCAGTCAATTTGTATTTCCGATGATAATTTTGGAATGTGTACATAGATATCACTAGACATCAATGTACATGTAAGCTGTGGTGTGTATGTGGTTAGTTGTTTGTCTGATGCTTTATTGACTCTCGCAATTGTTTTTCTTGTATTTTGGTTTAAACAAAGAGAGTGAGAAAGAGAGTGCTTTTTAGGTTAAAAGCTAAAATGACATTATATAAGACACACTCACTGAAGTCCATGCACTCGCTTTCCCGCTACATTGCATGCTAGCTAGCTGTACCTATGTTCATATTTGTATATATTGCATATTTTATTTTTTGGAACCTTTTCGAATATATTATATATTTTTCCCACTTAATCATTGTACATGACAATGATTTTCTCTTCTTTTTTTAGTGCAAAATAGTGACATATATATTGACACCAAAACCCAAAATAATATTCAAATTTTTCATAAAAAGCGGATACTATATATATTTTTTATATGAATGTTAAGAAGATATTATATTATTGCTACTTAAAATGTTTAGAATGGTTAAAAGAAATATGCTATTCGTTGTTTGGTTGAATTTGTTCTCCGGTTTCAGGACTGGCCATGGGTTAAGTTATATGAAACATTTTTTTTGGTTCTCAAAATTGTTTAGATTATTAATATTAAAAATAAGTTTCAAAATTTTATTTTAGTTGCAATAAAGAGTCTTACATTTTATAAAATTAATATTTATAATTATTTAAAAAAATAAATTTAATAATTCCCAATTTTATTTTTATTTTTTTTGTTTGAGCCCCTAAATTTTCAGGATTGGCCCTGGTTTTGAGAGCACATGGCGAGTCTTTACCACTTAAAACAACACCATTGGCTCTTCTACTTTGGTTATTATTCCTATGTTCAAATGATAAAGTGGAATTTCCATTAGTGTTTACATAAAAAAAAATTAGACACATCACTCATGCAAAAATGATATTACGTATGCATAATTTAAATAAATTCAGAAGAAGATTCTCAAATGATTATTTGCCATGGATTATGAATTAGTGCCCATGGGGTTATGGCGTTCCATTTCTAATAATCTTGGAGGGAAGCGAGATTGAAATTTAGAAATAAAGAACTTTATTCATTTGGTTATATAAAGTAACATTTTTCCACCACCTCAACATTTACGTTATTAATTATCTTTTACTTATTTTTTTTCAAAATAAAAATTAACATAATATTCAATATAAAAATAGCAACTATTAAAAATATACAAATTAACATTAACATTTAATATAAAAAATAATAAATATTAAAAGATAATAATAATATGTTTGATGTTTGTCAAAAAATTAAAAATTTACAAAACTAAAATTTTAAAAACAACCAAAATAATAATATACATTAACTCTGAATATCTTAAAATATAAAATAAAAATTTACTAGTGTGTGACGGGAATTGATAATTATAAAAAAATCTAATAAAAATGGAACAAGACATTCAAATAATAAAACGGTGTTGGGACCGATTTTACCACTTCCAATGATAGTGCGACATGTGGACACCAAACCACCTTAGACACTGATATCGATAAGCTAACTCGGCCAACAACTCCCAAAGACTGTTTCCGGACAGTTGGCGAGCTTCTCCGAACACACATGAATCATTAGCCCTACCTGTTCCACTAGCGTGCCGAATGGAGAGGACAGGACGGAGAGAGACATATATAAAAGGAAGAGATCCATACGAAAGAGAAAGGGGAGGCCTTCTGGAGAATCCGATCGGAGGAGCGACCTCGAACCGGCTCTTACTACCAAACAGCATAATCGAGAGGGAATCACCCTGTTTCCTAAACAAAACTGTAGAGATTTATTTTTATTTTTATTTCTACTTCTTATATATATATTTCTTTTTTCTTTTTTATAATTTATTTTTTCATCTGGTTACATTGCGTTTTATTTCTTGATCTCAAATTCTCGATCTACAAGTATACGAGTATGATATAAACTTTTAATTTATCTAAAAAAAGGATAAGAGATCAAATGAGATGGTAATATAAGCTCTGCAAATTCCACAAAATGTTAAAAATTATATACAAATAATAATATATAATACTCTTAACATTATTAATATATAGTGTATATCCCCTATATATTAAAAAGAAGTATTTTTAGAAAATAACCTTAATTTTGTAAAATATTACAGTGGTGCCATTTTGCTGATTTGTCATCACCAGAATCATTTTCAGCAAAGTTATAAAAATAGACTTATGTTACTAGATTAATTACATGTTATGCCACTCATATTAATTTGGTTATACATTAGTTTATATCAATTATATTGATGATGATTCATCAAGATATTCTCTTTTCTATTTCTTACCAAAAATATATTATATTTATTAATTATTTAAATACTATATTTTATCTCTTATTTTTATAGAAAAATAAATCATCACATCATTCATATAGTAAAATATATATAGTGTTATAATTCGAATTTCATAAAACAAATATAAATTACTCAATGATTAATAAATAAAAGTATCTTTTAAAAGACTAAAATTAAAAATAAGGATGTGTAGATAGATGATTCATAAATCAATATAAAAATACATAAATGATAAAAAAAACAGGAAGCTTAATCTAATAGATATTATTATTATAATTATTTTTGGTTTCATTTGGTTTTAGAGCCATATAAATTAACCAAATAATATAAATATTTAAACTTTATAATAAGTACAAAATATTAATAAAAAGTTGAACTATAAAAAATAGTTGAATATGTTAATAGAATATAATATTATAAATATTTTATTTGATTAAAATATATCATAAATTTTTAATTTATACAACAAAATAACTTGGTAAAAATTAAAATATCTTTGTAAAGATATTATATAATAATTTTACTAAAATTTTTGATATTAAAAATATTTTTATTGAATCAAAAAGTTAAGAATGCATAAATATTGACTCAGTTATATATAATTTTAGATAATTTATTAAAAACATTAATCTATTTTTATATAATCTTTATGTATATTTAGTATTTAAAATCAATTTCACAGTAATTTCCTTTTCTTAAAAGTTAATATTCTTATGACTATAGATTTTGCGGGTTAATCTAAATATGCATTTACATTCTTATAAGAAATATTGAAATCGATTATAAAATCCTATAACCAAATTTTATTTTTATAATTTTAATACTCTCTATTTCAAAATATAAGTTGTTTTGCATCAAAGCACAAAGATTAAAAAGTAAATTTTCTTTAAAAAAGGTAATCATTTAGTATATAAATTATATATAATTCAACTAATTATGAAAAATTAAAAAATATAATCGGTCACATAGTATTCATAGAAAGTAGTAAAAAAAATGAAAACAACTATATTGTGAACCAAAACAAAACCTTAATAAAAAACTAATATTATGAAACAGAGGAAGTAGTAATTTTTTTATTATTATCATAACGCATTAGATACTTAATAATTTGATCAAAATATATTCCTTCTATTTTTTTTAAATTTTAAAATCATGTTATTAATCATGGTTATAGAAAATATAAAGAGCAACTTCCTATTTCAGTCCAAATTGTGCATATTTATTTAAATTTTAAAACTAATTTACATCAGAATTAAATTACCCTATGTTTCATAAAATAAACAAAAAAATTATTTTGTCAATATTACAGCATAATGTTATAAATATCTCATATAAAATCAATTGTATTTTGTTATATAATTTGAAAATCAATTGTATTTTACTATATTAAATAAATAATTATTATTTCACTCTCCACAAGGTGCGGATTATTACCTAGTACTATCTTATTGGATAATTTATTATTATTTTCCTATATAAAAATATATATTGGTTGTAAAAATTTTGTGATCATATTTTATGCAATATATTATGAATATATGTAAAAAAAATTGAAATCATAGTAATTAATATTTTTTTGTTAATTTAAATTTATTATTTTTAATGTTATAATTTAGTGTATTTATGTTATAATTTTATAATTTATTTAATTATAATTCAACCAATCAAAATATTTCGTTTATTTTAGGAAATTTTCCATGTCACATTTCAATGTCACCATTAATTTACACTAACTTTTGCTAACTTGATGACACATCAGATTTTTTCATTAAACATGCTTCTTAAATAATAGTTAAGATTTATTATTTTTAGTGTTATAATCTATTGTATTTATGTTATAATTTTATAATTTATTTAATTATAATTCAACCAATCAAAATATTTCGTTTATTTTAGAAAATTTGCCTTTTTATATTTCCATGTCACCATTAATTTACACTAACTTTTGATAAAGTGATGACACATCAGATTTTTTTATTAAACATGTTTCTCAAATAGTAATAATTAAAATTTCTTTAAAATATATTAATTAATAGCCCATCTATACTATTAAAAGAGAATCATTCTTAATAAATGTTCAAAAGCTACCATGGTATTTACAATATATGCTACTACATTTACTAGACAATTTCATTAATTTAGCCATAACATTAAATTACAAAATAATATATTAAATTAAATTAAATTATATTAGTTTGTTAACAGATAATACCAATTAATTATATCTGATATTAATAAAATATTAAAATTCAAATTAATTTAATTTCGAAATTATTTCAAAATCTTTCAAAATATCTTAACATAACTACCACAAATATATATGACATGAATAACTAATATAATTATATATATTATATTATAAATTAAATATATATTATATTATAATCATTTTTTTCTCTATACAATTAAAAGAAAATCACTACTTTAAAATGTCTAAAAGCTAATATGATATTTATTAAA